TGATAATTCAAAAATGGTTGCAGTATTACATCAACAAGGAACTGCCAGAAATTCAAGTCAGATTCAAAAGAAGATGTGGAAGGAAGGATATTATTGCTGATGTCAGATGGATCTTGGCTGAAAGCAAAGAATACTAGAAAGATGTTTACCTGTGTGTTATTGACTATGCAAAAGAATTCAACTGTGTGGATTATAACAAATTATGGGTAACATTAGGAAGAACAGACATTCCAGAACATTGTTGCTTATGTGGAGCCTATACATAGACCAAGAGGCAGTCATTTCAAAGAACAAGGAGATAATGTGTGGTTTAAAATCAGGAAAGGTTATATCCTTTCATCGTACTTATACAATTTATATGCTGAGCAAATAATCAGAGAAGCTGGACTCTATGAAGAAGAAAGTGGCATCAGGGCTGGAGGAAGACTCATTAACATACAGATGACATAACCTTACTTGCTGAAAATGAAGAGGGCTTGAAGCTTTTGCGGACAAAGGTCAAAGTCTGTGACTTCAGTATGAATAATACTTTAACATAAAGAAAACAAAAATCCTCACAACTGAACCAATAATCAACATCTGATAAATGTAGGAAAGATTGAAGTTGTCAGGGATCTGACAACTTTATTTGGATCCACAATCAATGTCCATGGAAGCAACATTCAAGAAATCAAATGACTTATTGCACTGGATCAATCTGTAGCATAAGACCTCTTTAGAGATGTCACTTTGAGGACTAAGGCATACCTGATCCAAGCCAAGCTATTTTCAATCCTCTCATATGCATGTGAAAGCTGAACAATGAATAAGGAAGACTGAAGAAGAATTGGTGCATTTGAATTATGGTATTGGGGAAGAATATTGAATGTCAGAAAAATGAACAACTCTGTCTTGAAAGAAGTACAGCCAGAATGCTCCTTAGAAGCAAGGATGGAAAGACTTCATCTTGCCTACTTTGGACATGTTACCAGGAGGGATCAGTTCTTGGAGAAGCACACCATGCTTGGTACAGCAGAGGGTCAGTGTAAAAGAGAAAGACCCTCAAAGAGATGGATTGACACAATGGCTGTGATGATAAGTTCAAGCATAGCAATGATTGTGAGGATGGCACAAGACTAGGCAGTTTTTTGTTGCACATAGAACCATTGTGAGTTGGAACTGACCTGATGGTACCTAACAACAATGACACAAAGTAGAGTCCTGAGTGGAGGCTGGCATTGGATGGAGTGTAGAAAATGCCTTTGTGTTAACAGCTAAGTAGAGATTTGAGAGTCAGTAATGAGGCAATTGTTTGGAGGGCTGGTGTATGAGCATTCCAAGTGGAGGCAGTAAGTGCAAACATCCAGAGGTGAGAGGGAATTGGGTGAAGTGGAGACATAGGGAGAAGGAGATGGAGTGGGATGATCTTGGAGAAGTTGGCAGGAGCTGAGCTGTAGGGTAAGCCTTAGGGCCAGAAAGGAGTTTGGACTTCATTCCCCCACACAATGGAGCATATGTTTTCGAGGGAATCTCCTAACTACTGTGCGGTGAAAGTTTGAAATGAAGTTCAAGGCTAGAATGACCTCAAGGACCCAGTTTGGCTCCAGTAATCCATAGCAAGCTCCATGGCCCAGAATCCCTCTTATTAACTGAGCACCCTATGTCAGCACTGCCCAATAAAACTTTCTGCAAGAAGGAAATGCTTTATGTCTGGGCTGTTCAACCCTATACCCACTATCCACCCTTAACTTTTGAACGGTTAAAATGTTGCCAGTGCAACTGAGAAACTGGACTTTTTATTTTATTTAATTCATTTAAATTTAAATAGTTACATGTGGCTAATGGCTATTGTACTCACTCGACAGTGCAATGCGACACTGAGCACTGGATGACTGGGGTTTTCTGCACCAAATCTGCATCAAAGAGCCAGGGTCTTCCGAAAATGGTGGGAGGGAAGTGAGTGTATTACCCCTAAACCTTAAATGCCCTCTGCGCGTTCAGACTTCTCAGGGGCATTCTGAATTTCACCTTGTCACTGGAGAGCCACGTGCACGCTTTGTGAGGCTCCCCCACTCGCGTTCTCAGCGGAGGCTCAGCACTGCGAACAAAGGGTTCAGAAGCGCTCTTTGCAGAAAGCACTAGCCCCGCGCGCGCGCGCGGCCGCCGGCGCGATCCAGTCATTAGCGGGAGACCAGCAACGGACCACCGCGCATCGCCCCGCCTGCCCCGCAGTGGGGCTGAGTAGTTATCAGCTTCAGGCACAGCGCAGGTGGGCAAGGGAAGGTGGGGACTGAGGCACGCTATCGTGTGGAGTTGGGGACTCAGGGACCCTTCGTCGCGCAGTCGCCTCTCTCCTTTGCGGGAATATGGGCGGGGATGGCGCGGGCTGCCTCCCGCACGGGATCTGTTTTCTAGGATTCCTTTTGCTTTGCCTGGCGCTTGACTAGGCCTGGCGCACTGCAAGTGGCAGCTTGTCTCAGAGAGCGGCGCAGGTGGCCGCCGGGGAGAGGCGGGGCCTGACGCCTTTAACCCTTCTGGACCCCTGCCCTCTAACTGAGGACGAGTTCTGTGCTTTGGCCCCGTGCCCGGTGGCGTGCGTGGGATCTGGCTGCCTGGAAAGCGCCCCTGACCTTGGTCTCTTCCCTGTCCCAGGTCTGCCCTAGGACCATGGGTGCCGCAATGGGCACGGGCGCACGGCTGGCTCTCCTGCCAGGCCGGGCCTGCAGCGTCCTTCCGCACTGGGCGCCCTCCGCGCCCTCCCGAGGCTGCCACTCCAAGGCCAGCTCGGCGCGCCCAGTTCCCCTGAAGAAGCGCGGATACGATGTCACCAGGAACCCGCATCTCAACAAGGTAACAGTCCCGGAGGGACGTATGGCCCGCCTGAGCCGAGATCCTGTGGCGAGTTGGGAGGGTCGCCCCGCCTCCTGGGCCTGGGAAGGATCCTCCGGGAACCCTTCCAGCGGTTTCGCGTTGTTGCCTTGCATGGGCTTGGCGTGATTCAGTTTGGCTCCCTTCTCCCCGCTTCTGAGTAGAGAGATGTGACTAGGAAGGCGGAGCCAAGTTTCCTCTGCAAGAACAATACAGTCTGGGTTGAGGTCTTCAAGGCCTGTCAGATCTAAGGTCAGATCCCGCTGATTCTTAGTAATGCTGTTGATTTGGGGCAGTTCACGTAACCTCTCGGAAGTCCGAGTTTCCTTACCTGTATAAGAGACGTGATTGTTGCTAGGGTGTTGTGAGATTTAAAGAGTTAATAGAAATAGAGTTCTTAGGACAATGCCTGGCATCCAGTGACAATAAATGACAGCTAAAGTTATAATTATTATTCTAGGGAAAAGATTAAGAGTGGGGAGAGGAACTTTCAGAGCTTAAAAGGTATCAGAGATTCTAATTCAAAACACTCCTTTTACAGATGAAGAAACAGGACAAAAGGGATTGCCCAAGGTCACCAGCTAGTTAGTTCTGGCTTGGCCACTCAATTTGGATCTCAGTGCTTTGGTCAAGTTTAGCCCACTGCCAGGCGTTTGTGCATTAAAGTAAGAGCACAGACATTTGTTTCTGAGTGTGGCGTTCAGAGAACTAGGGTAGAGAGACATAGGATGGTATTTAAACTCAGAAAGCAAGAGACCTAGATTTGAGGACTGTTCCTCTACCCCACCCCCACCATCCACTTCCTCGAATTATTTTGGGCATCTCATTTAACTCCTCTGAGGCTCAACTTTCTTCTGCTTAAAGTGGATATCAGGATAAATCTAGTAATCTTATCTCATTAGATTACTGTGGCTATCAAATGAATTACTGAATTTGTAATTATATTTTAAATGATATAAAGTATTTGATAACTAAGTAATTACTGCAAAATAAACATTTAAGTGCTTTCTTTGACTCAGGATTATGAAATTTGAGTAAGGCAATCTGCATGGAAAGGTGTTTTTGAGAAATAGGAACAACTCTATAGATGCTAAATAGTGTGATTTTCTTGCAGCATTAATAGAAGTTAAGAAAAAATTTTTCTCTCAATCTCCACCTATCATACCAACCCCCCAGGTCCTCCAAAGGGACCTTACACCTTGTGTACCTTATTACTTCAGAATATTTAAGCTGTTTGTGTCAGTTTGTATTACTTTGGTATAAGGTGTCAGAAAACTTGAACTAGTTTAAACAAACAAACAAGCAAAAAGACTCATTAACTAAAACAAACAAACAAACAAAAATCTAGAGGAAGGGTTGCAGGCAAGGCTTGATCCAGTAGTCCAAAGGACATCCATAAGGTTGCAGGTTCTCTGTGGCTCTCTGCTGTGCCTTCAGTTGTGGCTCCACACAATAGAGCTTTCACCTCAATGCTGAACAGTCCTCCATTTCCCGTTTTCACACCACATCATCCAGGGATACAGAAACATTCTCTTCTGGTGTCTGCTGTGGAAAACACAGATGCTTTCTCCGAAGTCTCAGAAAACTAATCCTTTTGTCTTATTAACTCTGATTAGATTCCCAAACCAATCACAAATTAGTTAAGCCAATCAGGGATCACCCCTGGAGTTAAAGGTAGGTTTGGCCCCATCCACACCAACTGGCTTAGAATAAGGGGGATGTGGCACCCCACAGTAAAATTTGGACAATGTTGTCAGAATAGGAAGGATGGATGCTGAGAAAACAACAAATTCTCACTACAGGTTCCCAGTCCTTTTGAAAATAATTGGTTTAGAGGTACTGAGTTCCTGACATATTACCAACTAGAATTTATTGCCTTGTGAATAGTTAAGAAAATAAAAGACTTAAATGCCTATCTTAACTCTAGACTTGTAGTCTCCTTAAACACTCTTGTCCCTGATATATTTTTTTTTCCTCCCAAATAGTATAAGTGGGAAGTTGTACATAAATCTGGGGAACTGACCTTTCCATGATGCCAAACATCTTTAATGTATCCCTAAAGTCAGTTGATCCTGGCCTGGGGTGAAGGAGGGTATCTAGAGTGCTGCTGAGAAGTACCCGTTGGCATTCTCCACTCACTGACCCTGCGGGGAGGAGAGGAAGCAACAGAAGGAGCAGTGCTACTAGGGAGCTGCCGTGGGTGTCCTTTACTTCCCACGGGAGTGCACCCTCTTGCTGTCTGGTTGTCGCCAGCACTCGTGGTCTCCAGGGAAGGCTTGAAGCTTAGTGTTTTCCTGCAGTCAGATGGGGAGGCCTGTGCTGAGGTTGAACAAAACAACTGAGGTTGTCACTTAGAAAACGTAGGTGCAACTTTGAACAGTCTTCTGTGCTGCGCTTAATAGGTATGTTTGCAGATAGATCTTTTTGTACTAGATGGTGAACAACTCCAGGGCAGGGACTGAGTTTCATGCACCTGTCTTCCCTCTCCTCTGCATAGCAGCCCACCCAGGGTAGTCATGAAGGATCTAGCAAGGGCATGAGCATGCAGTTTAACATAAAATTCTTGGAGTGAGTTTACTAGATTTGCCTGTCACTTTTGACAGATCAGGAGAGATATTTAAGTTGAAGGTTGGGGCAGAGGGTGGTCAGGAAGTGAAATGCTCTGAGAGAGAAGAAGAGCTACTAAACAGGGCATCTCTGCTGTTGTGCAGCCATTGGGGTCTGGTCCTGACTCAACAATGCCCTCACAGTGTGATCTGTGATGAATGTCATGAGCTCCTTTGCTCATGTTATACTGCTCTTGTGAGGATCATAGGAGATAACCCTATGAAATCACTTTGAAAACTGTAGTGTGTTCAATGATGAACACTGGTGGCTCAGTGTTTAGGCACTCAGCTTCTAACTAAAAGGTGAGCAGTTCAAACCCATGAGCCACTCCACAGGAGAAAGATGTAGTGGTCTGCTTCTGTAAAGATTACAGCCTTGGAAACCCTGTGGGCAGTTCTATTCTGTCCTATAGGATCACTTTGTGTTGGAATTGACTTGACAGCAATGGATTTTGGGAATGTGTTAAATATAAGCTGATCATGCTGATGATTCCCACAATGAAGAGTCCTTAGAGATTATCTCCTCTGGAATTTTTCAGAGTGTGGATCACAAACTGGGGACATGAAATCTGTTTAGTAGCTTTAA